AGGTAATGTAACCATGATATATAAGCCGTGATTGTTGTTTATATAGATGTAGTTTTAACTGTTAATATTTATTACCAAGAAGATGTAGAGTTACGTTAAAAACTAATGAGTAATGTAACCATGATATATAAGCCGTGATTGTTGTTTATATAGATGTAGTTTTAACTGTTAATATTTATTACCAAGAAGATGTAGAGTTACGTTAAAAACTAATGAGTAATGTAACCATGATATATAAGCCGTGATTGTTGTTTATATAGGTGTAGTTTTAACTGCTAATATTTACTACCAAGAAGATGTAGAGTTATGTTAAAAACTAAGGGGTAATGCAAACATAATATATAAGCCGTGATTTATATAGATGATGTAGTTTTAACTGTTCATATTTACTACCAAGAAGATGTAGAGTTACGTTAAAAACTAATGAGTAATGTAACCATGATATATAAGCCGTGATTATTGTTTATATAGACGAAGTTTTAATTGCTCATGAACGATCCTCAGTACTTACCTATAAGAGTTAATTATTAATTGCACGTTTTGAAATTTTTGATACTCTATTTCTAAGCCTAAAGGCAGAGAACAGTCAATTATACATAGATAATTGAAGTACATTTAAGATAAAACACTTTGATTAACGTATGTCTCAAAGAGCAATGTTTGCTCGTTGCATTATCTGTACTATTGAACACAATTCTTTACGTTTATATAGAAGTATACGTAAAATAAACATCAGAATTAGTGTAATAACGAAACCTTTTTCGCAATGTTCAGCAAGCAGAAACGTAAGAACAAATGTTGTTTTCTAAAGCTGCTTTCGTGCTGTTTATTTCACAGTGTTATCTTGACTTGTTTATTGAGTAGAGAAACATAAGTATTAGCTAAAAGTTGTCTTTTCATTTTAAGGTTTTCAAAACCTCTTATTCTATATTCTTTGAAATTACAGTTTAATCTAAGGCTGAAGAGTAACTCCAGTCCATCTCCAAACAAAGTGTCAAATATTTCTTTCTCTATCTTTTAAAAATAATGTATGAAGAAAACCCGATAAATCAGTTTGGTGCTTCATTGACTCAGCACATACTCTCTATTATAACGTTAACACATAGATATGCTAGCCATCATAGAAGAGAGGTTTAACTTCCAACCAAGTGAGCATTAAAAGTAAAATTTTACTAGTACAACTGACAGAAGAAACGATACTCCTAAAATACCTTTCACATATCTTAGCAGTATCTTTTCTATTTCTAATATTGTCGTATGTTTTACGAAAGATCAATGAGAGTGAAATAGTAAGTGTAATTTCTTTGTAACTTGGGACTAAAACTTGGCTGTGCAATGTTTACGTTACTTACGTTTCAATTTTGTTTTTATCTTCATAACTTCGACAGAAGCGGTAACAGTAGGATAGATAAATAATTTGAATGGTGTATTTTATCTTAATGTGAAAAGATGGGAAAATAATCCCTCCTCGTAGCCATGAAGCTAAACATAATAAATAGAACTAATTAAAAAATGTGGATAAAATCAATTTGGAATAATCATGTGCCAAAAAAAATAACCCGCTTTTAAATAAATCTTGTTTTAGCTATTTACATTTTTTTTTATTTTTGATACAAAGTGCTTGCGGCTTGTTTTGTCCTCCACTCATTTAATGAGATGTTTATGATAAAGTTTGTTTTGTAGACCTTTTGATGTACAAGACGCACATTAGATACTTATTAGATGGCATGAGTAAGAAGTTGGAGCCTTGTTCAGTTGAAAAAGGATTACCTGTGGATCACATCTGCCATTGGAGCCCCTAAAAATGCGCTACATCGATTTTCGAAAGTCTTTGCAAAGAAAGGTTTTCCTGGTGGTTTTTTGTAATTCAAGATTAAATTAAGATCATGAAAAAAGATAAGAACGTCAGATGAATTAGAATGTATAAATAGATATATATGGCTGTCATTGGACAAAATTACTCGATAAGAGTATACAGGCAGTGGTAGTGAACCGAAATCACTCGATAAGAGTATACAGGTAGTGGTAGTGAACCGAAATCACTCGATAAGAGTATACAGGCAGTGGTAGTGAACCGAAATCACTCTATACAGGCAGTGGTAGTGAACCGAAAAAAAAATTGTTTTTTCCAACTAAAGTTTGAAATTGAGTACAACGAAAACTCCTCTTGATTTGGACAAAATCACTCGATAAGAGTATACAGACAGTGGTAGTGAACCGAAAAAAAATTGCTTTTTCCAACTAAAGTTTGAAATTGAGTACAACGAAAACTCCTCTTGATTAGATTTGTAATAAAAATAAGCTTTTTCGTCTACGAATGACTTGTTAAATCTTTGCACGAGTGTAGTCACACATAAAATTTTCTCGCAAGAACAAGAAAAAGATGATACACTGTCAGTAAAACTGTTTTATTGGACATGTACTGCCTTTTTTATTTAAGTTGTGTTTCACGGTCATCTTCAGGTTTGAAAGTACGGCCTGCTTAGCTCTTCATGATGAAAACTTTTTTTTTGTAGCTTTCTAATCCACTATCAATCATAAGCATTATTTTATTCCTTTATAACTTTATTGTTGATCATCACCTTAGTAGCAAAAAGAGAAAGAGATCCCTATTTGGGAATAGGACTGAAAATTACCTTATTGACCATCTTTGGACGTGGCAACATGGACTGTACCGAAGTGGCGAGGCTTCAAAATTGTTTTATTATGACGTACTAAATCTCTGTATATTGGTTGTTGATTTACACAAGATATCAATCAGACTATAATTTCTAAGTATTTCTAACTGGCTGAAAAGGTTTGGTGATTCGACGAAACTTTCAGTTACCAATTGCACGCAATATAAAGGGCGTCAAAAATATAGCCTTGCTCCATTATGAGAGAGTGTATATAAGAAACAACCACTTTCCAATATACCCGTAGAATACGATCTTCGCATAAGCTATAGATACGCATTTTTTAGATTCTATCATAAACGTGTCATTAGTTGCAACATATTTTTTGGAAGTCATTTCATAATGAACTTTTACCGTTATTACATGGTACAGATCTGTACTTCATCAATGCTGGTGGTAAAACTAGTCTTAGGTTTTATACTTTATAAAAGTTGCAGACTAGACCTTTTGGTAGAAAACAAATCGAACTGAAGGAAGAAAGAATTTTGTGAAATATTTATAGCTAATTTTATATCAGTATTCAGTGCGTTCAACAAAACCACAAATTTTGATTAACTTGAAAGCCGTAGTTAGATCTGTTGTTTCAAAATTTCCTTATGTACGACAACAGGGGCGTGAAGCAGAACGCTGAGAACAACCCCCGGTAAGATTACCGCCTACATGTTGTATTTACATTATTTATTCACCGGACAAGGTGAAGATATTCTGAATACCCAAAACACATTAATATTTCAAGCAGTTAACTTAATCTCGTCTGCATCTAAATAAATAAACTGAGGGAATGCTGCTTTCCTACATTATTTCCTTTGTTCATTTGTTATCAAGCAAGGAATATTTACCGTTACGATTGTGCAGAAGTATGAACAGTGTTAAAGTATGCGTTTGTACAGAAGAATGAACAGTGTCAGAGCATGTATTTGTGCAGAAGAATGAACAGTGTTAAAGCATGTATTTGTACAGCAGAAGAATGAACAGTGTCAGAGCATGAATGTCAAAGCATGTATTTGTGCAGAAGTATGAACAGTGTTAAAGTATGCGTTTGTGCAGAAGTATGAACAGTGTTAAAGTATGCGTTTGTACAGAAGAATGAACAGTGTCAAAGCATGTATTTGTGCAGAAGAATGAACAGTGTTAAAGTATGCGTTTGTAATGCG